TGAAGAAATACAGGGGAGTGAAAGGAAAGTATTTTGATATAATTTTTCCAAATGTGTTGCAATCAGCCACTGTTACCTTTATAAACCTTAAATAAGCTTCCATTGTAACTAGTTTCCTTCAGGAAGAGAAGACACAATCCCATCTCAATTTCAAATTTTTTTTTTCTGCATTTATTGTCATTACACTGTCACAAGTTCACCCATCCCTTTGGGGAGCAGTGGACTGCCATTGTGCGGTGCCCGGGGAGCAGAGTGGGGTTAAGGGTCTTGCTCAGGGACCCAAAGTGGCAGTCTGTGGGAGTGGGGCTTGAACTCAGAACCTCTGGATTCTAAGCGTAATGCCCTAACCACTAGGCAGCCACCCCCTATGGCAGGAACAGTATTCTGGTGTGAAAATAGACTTTACAAGAATTGTAAGCATATGCCCAAGTTGTGAAGAAATAGATAATCTTCATACATTATCTGGTGCAATTATAAAACAGTATCTCAAACTTTCAGCTTGAAGCATTGTTTTATCTGAAAAAGCAACTGTGTCTTGATATATTTGCAGATCTGCAAAAAATATACCAAGACACAGCCACCCACCCTCCCTGACAACCTGGGAAAAAGTGGCAGAAGCTTCAACAAAGCTCAGGGTTTCTATGGAGTAACTTCAGAGATCTACAGCTTCAATGAAAGAACTGTTGAAGGATACATTAGCCTGACAAGACAAACATACCTTCCCTGATAAAACATGGAGAAACATGCAGAAGTTCAACTTCCAACAGGACAAATGTTTCCATATGACCAGAACCTCAGTAGAATGAAAAATATCTTATTCTTGTTCAATTTGGAATATATGCCTCCATCAAATCTGACTGAGTTTGGTTTGAAAGAAGAGGAACTTCTTTTTTAGTTCTTGGATGTGGAAAGCTGATTGAAAAAACCTCATTATTATTTTTTATTTTTTGCAGTAAAATTGGGTTCTTTAAAGGATTGACTTAGTGGTCTTAATACATATGCACCTCATACTTTAAAGGTTTTTATTTGTTAAAAAATTTCAAAGCACTTTCCTTCCACTTCAGTTCTGCACTACTTACTGATGGTCTATCGAATAAAGTCTTTAATGAAACAATAATTTTCTAGTTAAAATGTTACATTCCACTGCATATTTCTAATAAAACTCATTACTTTAGGGAAGATGTTGTTTGGAGTAGAAATGTTTTCAACACGGTCAAATCCAACCCTTTGTTTACTGTCTCTGCAGATTTTATCATCGCAACAAGCGAGGACGAGTTGTAAACTGCCCATATGTGGACAACTCCTACAAATGGGCAGGAGGCGGCTTCCTCTCCACAGTAGGAGACCTGCTGCTCTTTGGTAACGCTCTACTGTACAGTTACCAGGTGGCTCAATTAAAGGACACTAAGGGTTTGCTCCCTGGGTTCCTAAAACCCGAATCGGTTATAGAGCTTTGGACACCGGTTGATAAGACTGAGGCCAGCTGGGATAAGGACGGACTGTACGGCCAAGGTTGGCTGGTGGTGGAGAAGCTGCAGAAGTACGGTCTGTGCAGGAAACGCAGGCATTACGTGTCGCACACAGGAGGAGCTGTGGGAGCCAGCAGCGTTCTTCTAGTGCTGCCTAGTGAGGAGATCGATCGATGCCAGGGACAGACCCCCCTGCTCCCGCAAGGGGTGGTGGTCACCATAATCACAAACATGCAGTCCGTGGGTCTGAACAGCACTGCGCTAAAAATTGCTCATCACTTTGACAAAGCTAGAAATGTGTGTGAATAATTCATTTAAAGTTCATGGAATATATGGCTACTTTTTTTTTTTATACAGATTGAAAATCCTTTAAACAAAAAACTATTAACCCATATTTCATCCATTGGAAAACAAATATAACTTTAAATTTGTATTTAGAATCTAAATTCTGTGTTTTTTTCTCAAGTTTATCCAGCTTTCCTAAAACTGTGTTCATGTCCCAGGTCAAGAGAGGCTAATGTGTGATTGATAGCATTCCTATCTTCTATTTGTTTTTTCTATTCAGGCATGCGTGCTGCATTGGCAGCATGCTTCTAGTTATTATCGTGCTGAAAAATGTCACCCGTTGAGTTTCCGTCCAGACCTTGTGAAATTTGGCATTCCTCTTTCTTTTCCTCCTTGCTTCCTTTCATAGGAAAGGCTTCACACCCACTGAAAGCAATGAAGTAATTCCTGACGGGAGTTTCAGTAAGTGGGTGGCTTTGGTGAAAGGAATTATAGAAGAGGCAAATACTTCCAGATCCTTTTATAACATCTTTTATTCCTAATTTAAGAACCTGTGGCTGTCATCTATTCTTTTAGACCTTAATCTTCTTTCGTTTCCCCCATTTTCCAGTTTATTAGTTGTTGTTTTTTTAAGGTTGCAAGGATGTGCAATCATTTTTTTTTTGGCCTAGATAAATTTAGAAATTTTATAAAAGCAAAACCTCTTGTCTTCCAAACATTATTTTCACTGACATTCATTGATTAATGCAAATTATGCAAAATTGTTTTTGTAATATCCTGCTTTTAATTAAAGATTGTATTTTTAATGCCATTTTTTGCAAAGTTCCATGCAATTTCTATCTTTTTACACTCAAATGAATAGTACATACTTTTAGATGCAGAACGAATAAAAAGAAAAAAGATTGGGAGAACATTTTTGGGAACGCCTGTAAATTTTATTTAAGTAAATAGAATAAATCCTAGAATACATCTCAGCAAAGTTGATGTTACATTAATAGTGCGACAATATTACAAATACAATTATGCTGCATAAATGCATAAAACCAAAGGTATCCCTTTTGCCCTACAATATGTCTAATCCTTAATAAATACGTCAAAGTCTGTTTTTCTAAACTGGAGTTTGAATAAAAATTGAAACAAAGTCGACCAAAACAATCAGATGAGTCTACTAATGTTTATTCAACTTTTTTTAGACCAAAATTTTCTAACTTAACTTTCATATTTTTACATTTAGTATTGATCTCTACTCTGAACTAGTTTGAACTATAATGCTCATAGTTCAAGCTCTTTGCATAAGGATTATTTTTATGCGTGCCTTTTTTTTTTCTCTCTACCCGAATATCGTAAACTTTAATAAAAATGTGCAACTTGCATTTCTTTAAACATAAATCAAATGTTAAAATTAGTGCTTTGCTTCTCCTTGCTGTTTTTTTTGTGCATAGTAATGGTATCAAATAGTCTTTGTGCCTATTAATGATGAAATGAGGAAGCGGATGTTTCTAATATCTGCAGAAAGAAGTGGAAATGAGTCACTTTGTTTAACTAATTCCTCAGTGATTGAAATGAACATTAAGAGCTGTTGTTATGGTTCTCTTTAGAAATACAGCATTTAAAAAAATGTATCAACATTTTGAGTTTTGTGAAATAAACAGCCTTCTAAAACTTTGTTGTATTTTTATTTCTTAGTAGTTAAGATATCTTTTCTGCCACAAGGTGGAGATGGTATACTGTGGAGCTTCTAATCTACAGTCATTTTCATTCAGTAAAGAGGTTTTTTTCTTATATCAAAGACACAATAATCTCTTAAAACAGGCAGCATTGAATAAGGAGTTTAATGAAAAAAAAAAAATTGGTTAGTTACATTTGAACAAAAAAAAAATGCATATAAAAAATTATATCCTACTAACCCATGAGGAAACCTCTCTCAACACGCAACCAATGAAATATTTCTTTCGAGCGTGGATACTTTTGTTCTGGCCTCTGAACTTCTCCACATCAGGGGGGATGGGGGTCCTGGAATTTAACTTTTAGGTCCTTCCTTAGATTCCCATAACAGAATTTACAAAGACTCTGCTTGCACCCCTATACAGTGTTAGGACTTTTTGTGAAAACATAAAACTAAAAAAAAAAAAAAAACATGCTGGTAAACTTTAGATATCAACCAGGGATATGGAAATTTGACTGTAATGATAATGCCATGCATAAATGACAAAGGTTCTTATGAAAGGTGATTTATTTTTTCTTCAAATAACAACTTCATTGTTCAAACTAATTTATTCTGCAGTATTTCATGATATAACAGACAAAATAAAAACCTATGAATAAAAACGAAAGACAAGTTTAACCTGGACTCAATTAATTAGTATAAGTATTGCTGTTAAAAATACAATGACTGGTAACAAAAAATATGTACATATATATAAATATATATATATATATATATATATATATATATATATATATATATATATATATATATATATATATATATATATATATATATATATATATATATATATATATATATATATATATATATATATATAAATAAAGATATTTACTGTGATATTGAGGTTGTTGTTTAATTTAACAATTCCATCCAATAAGTCCAGCAATCTGTCCAACACACATTAACATTTTAAGGATCTATAATCTTTATGTGTTTATGTTATCTTTATCTTTTTATTTTAGGTTTTTAGGGAACAAAAAAAACTCTTAGACTTAAACGGAAGTAAAGTTTGCCATTTTGCACGTATTCTCGCATTTCCAGCGTTGTGAGACCTGGGGATGGGATGTTAAAGGTGTTTTGGGGAATTGACATCACTATGGCCAGTCTATAGGTTCTCTTGGGCAATTAGAGTTTCACAACGGCTTAAAAAAGCACTGTCATAAAAAAAGGATATGAATAAACCGTCTTCATAATTCTAAAGTAAGCACCATAGAATATACTAAAACATTTACAAACATGTTTATTACAACTACTTTTTTAAAGCATCCAGTTACTTTTTACAATTGGTTGCTTTGTTTTGTGTTAATTTTTTTTTTTTCTACCAAATATTTCACAAAACAAGATTAGGTTTTCTCAACTCACTTTTCGAAAGCACATTTAGAAAAATACACTGAAATGTAAAAAGTTGTGGCTTCTAACTTTTATCAAAGTTAAGAAGCTGCATTAATTTCCCAACCACTTATTTCATATCTTCCATAAATTTACTCATTTTAAAAGAGACTCTGCAGATTACATAGTTAACTGTAACAAAATTAAAAAATATATTTATTATTTTAAAACACACACAAACACACATAGATATCATTAGGAAAGCTCATATGTTCGAGGTTACTCTGAAGAGGCCCTTGTTCCGTTTTTGTTCTGTCATTTTTCCTTGTCTTATCATCCTGTATATGGAAGGAAAAAAATAAAGATTATATTACATTTATTAAATTGCATCTACTGTAACTTTATATGGATCTATATCATTTTAACTTTTAGATGTTTCAAGAGTATGGGTAGTTTTGAATAATTTACTTACTTTTGCACATAGTAGATGACAACAGCCAGCACCACCAAGATGAGGATGACTATGATGATCACAGCTGCTAATAATCCTCTCTCCATTTCATCCAAAGATTGATATTGTAGCGTTAACTGCTCACATCTGCTTCCTGCGTAATTTCCCGTGCAGCTAAAAGCGGTGAAAGAAATTAGGAAATTTGTCAGCAACATCAACCTCATGGTTCTCCATATATTTCTTCCTATCAACTACCGGTATTTAAAATTACAACAATTTCTACATGCAAGGTAAATGCAAGTGTTTGGGCCTAAATTTGTTTGGATAGAATAAATCTTTGTGTTTGCTTTACGTTACTTACTGGCAGAAGAACGTATCAATAGATGGCATTTTATAACATGTCCCTCCATTCATGCAATAGGTTGCATCTTGTGGATCACAAAGCTTTCCGTGTTCTAAAAATGATACAGGATTAGTCATCAATTTAAGCACAGCTTTGCTGTTATGGTTACCAAGATGATTTACCTTCCATCATTTGAAGTGCTTTAGCTGTGGTATATCCTAACAGAAAACCTGTTGAGAAATGTCAGCTATAAAAACATAATTCAATTTACAAGTGGTTTCATTAAAACCTCCTTTTTGTAAAACAGTTACTTAATTTCAATAATAAATGGGACACCTCAAATTAATAAAAAAAAAATGTTTCTTACCAGCTCATGAAATCCTCTGCTGCTGGTCCTTGAGGTAAATCTTTGTGGCACCTGCATCTCTGTGCAGTTTTCTCATGTGGGTGTGCTTTTGCTTAAAGAATGCAGCAGTGGCAGTTTATCCACTTTTTTAAATGGCAAGTGAAATGTCAAGTTACAGCCCTCTTATACTTCCCCACTATCTCTTAGTATTTTACGATGTTCTAAACAGTAAATTTTAAGACAAGTTGTAAGATTTTTACCTCATACGTTGGCTAGGAGGGTTTAATTTTACCTGGTGAAGCTTGAATGTTTTCTTTTTCTATTTAGCAGAATGATGAGGAGGGAAACACCTGTTTGCCTTGAGAACTTTGCCTCTCTGGGTTTGGTAGGAAGCATGAATGATCGGTATGCGGCGAGGCATGAATGGAATCGTGAGAACTTTCAACGAAAACATCCCATTGCGTATGTCAGACGAGTAATTGTTTTTGCCCTGAACCGTTAGCTGACTCACCATCTGGCAGCATCTTCCTTTTAATATTTTGGTTTCATGCTTTTAGTTTCATGATAGATACAATCACTTCCAAAAACAGTGAGGTACTCAGGACCTGTTCAGTTAGGATATAATGTCCTCTGTGACAGGTTTATGTGATGCTTCGGCCACAGCAAAACCATTGAGTTTTAATGGGAAGTTTCTTGAGAAATTACAGCAGGTGAATATTCTCAGTCATCGAGGTCATAGTCGTTCCAAAAAAGTAAAAAACAAACCACTGGACTTTGTTTCTAGGTTTGAACACATTTCACTTCCTATCCAGGAAGCTTTTACAATTCAAAAATCATCCAGACTTCTTAATGCAGTCTGGAAGTTCCACAGGGTATGAGACCTCCCAACTTCATGAAAGCCCACAATGTGACTCCAAGTCATTGAAAAGTTTTTTGTACTAAAACATTTTGGAGATGTCTTCTACTGTGTTGAAACATCTTAATTTTTCCAGTTAATTACTTAAAAGTAATACTCAAATTGTGATTTTAGCACCTATGTTCTCTATCGCGAACCCCATCTATTTAAAGCCTGTGTCATTCAAGTTATATTTGGTCACCTGTCTGAATCTGCAACAACAATTATAAAAATTAAATTACTTTATCAGTCAATTATGTTATTTAGCAGCAACTGTTTTCCCATCAACTTTTATCCAACACTCTGTCCTTACTTTTTGGCAGAGTTGCTAAATGAACGCCATGATTCTAGGAACAAAATTAGGGTGCCATTTCCCGTTTTCTTAAATCCTCTTAGGGAGTGGATAGCAGGACAATGGCTCTAAACATAAATCAGAGCTAAAATGATATAGTTTATATGAAAGCATATCAGTGTGTAATGGTACAGTCACAGTCTAGACCAGAGGTCATGGATTAGCAGACCACGGTCTCATCTGGACCCACCTGCTGGCTAATTCGGACCCAACTTGATTTAAAACATTTATAAATTACCGCATTTTCTCAGACGAAAGTGTCTAACTCTACTTGGCCGCTTCTCTCATTAATATGATAAAGCCCTCCAGAGTGTCAGGGACCAGGCTATATGTGATACAAATTAGCCAATGAGCGGAGTCAGTCTGAGTTGCTGCTACTAGCCACTTTTAGACACAGCAGGCAAACCTATGGCAAGGCAGGCGATGGGAAAGAAGAAGATTATGAGAAAAAGAGAGCAGAGAAAGTGTGGACTGCTGGAAGAACAACAGTGAACTGGTGAAAGAAAAGTGAAATGGCCAGCTCAAAGATGACCCTGCACATTTATTTTGCATATGTTTGGCTCAACCTACTGCTGTGAAGCAGGATTCTCCACCATGAACATAATCAAAAATAAATATCAATCCAGGCTCAAAATGAGCACCTTGATATGTGCTTGAGAATGGCTTTGTCGCCATTCAAACCCAGGTTTAAAGTCTTGCAGTGCAGCCTAAAGCCCACTTCTCTCATTAAGCTGTAAAAATAAAATAAAAAAAACAACAAACGATCAGTTCAGGTATTTTATAAAATATGTCAATAAGGAAATTGTCTATATATCAAACTGAATGATTGTTGTTCTCTAATTAGAAAAACACTTTAGATTTTAAAATGGAAAAAAAGTTTTATTTAAAAATTCAATGTATAACATGGAGGCCTAAAAAAACTCATTTTATTTCGGTGTTAAATTCTGTTTAAAGTAACATATCATAATTAAAAATGTCGCCGGACTTTTACTGGTTGTTGATTTTCTTAATTCGGACCCCGCTGATTTTTAGTTGGTTACACCTAGTCTAGACCTAAATCCAAATGAGGTGGTAAGATGTGGAACTAGATGTTTCCCATTCAGACAATATCTTGCCCATGACCAAAATCAAATTAGAAAATAATCCCAAAAGAGTACATCTTGATAACCTAATTAAAATTAATAGAAAACCAGCTGGGATAAAAAAGTTAATATCCATTGTTAGGCTGGTGACTCTCATCTTTATTTGTCCATGTCCTGATGAAACTAACTCTTTACATAGAACATGGGTTATGTGGATGACTTTACATTTTTAGCCTTTTAATGCTTAGAAAACAGAAATTAATGTATTTTTATCAGTGTTTGAAAAAGGTGCCGATTAGTCAGTCACTGCATTATGGCATTAAATTGGTTTCAGATAATAATGTAAAACCCCTTGGTGTTATTTTTGAATAGGACATGCCATTTTAAATCCCTCATTAAATAGTTCTAGAATTTTCTTCTTTTATCTTTCAAGTGTATCCAAAATTAGAAATATCTTGCTTCTCTGCTGAGAAACCAGTCCATTTGTTAATTCAGGGCTTGGCTATTGTAACTTGTGCAATCAGGAAGTACACAGAAGGAAGTTAAAAGCCTTCGGCTGATCCAAAATGCTGCAGCCAAAATTCTGATGAAAATTTAAAAGGAAGATGCAATTCCTCTTATCTAAGCTTCCATGAACTGAGCCACTATCAAGTTCCATTAGAGATGATAATATTATATGTGCTCTCTTTTATCCCATTTGACATTTAAGTGACTCATAGCTCATTTGCTTAACTGTTTAGTGTTTCTAAGAAAAGGTTCTGTCTTTTTCCTTGAACCCTCAGTTAACCTCAGCACACAATGAGCCTGGTTCTGCTGGAATTTTTTTGTTTCTTTTCCTATGAAAATGTAGTTATTCCTCTCCACCGTCACTACATGCATGCTCAGGGTGAGGGATTGCTGGAGAGTCACTAACAATGCAAGATATGACATTGTTAGTGACTAGTGACTGCAAATCCAGCAGCGTGAGTGACTGGTTGCAATGAGCCTGATTTCCTTATAGAAAACTTTTAACCAATCTGAATGTGACTTGAATGAAAAGTATCTGTAAAGCACCCTGGGATCACATGGGTTGTGATTTGCCACTCTATAAATCAAATGAATTGAACTGAATAGTGATGTTGCGATGTTCTCAATTCAGTTTTTGCATAGCGTGCTGTATTGTACGCGTCCTGTGTTCAGTTCAACTGAAACATCATTAGTTCAACTTTTTTATTTTCTTTAGTCCAACTGTTTTTAATGTTCTTTTTTGTTTCTGCATTTTTTATTTTATTTTTTTCCCTACTTGCTTTGATTCTGTTTTATTTTCCTATATTTTAATCATGTAAACCACTTTGCATCGTCTTTGTACTGAATTGTGCTATACAAATAAATTTGCCTTGCCTTGCCTTGCCTTGTACACTTCCGCTAGACATGTAAACATGGTAGAGGCATATTCTCTAGAAAAAAATGCATTCTTATTATAACTACTACAAGATGGGGAGTGATGGCCTAGTGGTTAGGGCATAGAGCTTGGAATCCTGAGGTTCTGAGTTTGATGCTCACTCCCACTGACTACCACTCTGGGAGCAAGACCCATAAGCCCCACAGCTCACTGAGGGGATGGGTGAAATGCAGAGGTTAATTTCTCCAAAATGTATTATTATTATTATTATTATTATTATTATTATTATTATTAAGTCCTTATGACATGGTCTGACTTTATTTGAATTTATATAGGGCCATATACACTTATATACAGTACTGTGAGGAAACAATACAATGAGGCTGGAAACTCATAAATTGCATTTAGCACTTTGCTGCCACTGAAACCTTGAATGTACCTGAATATATAGGCCTATCAATTCTTTTCCGTGCGGGTGAGTTGTTATCGCGAGGAACTCGAGAGCAAAACGAAGCTAGTGCGTTTTCCTACGTCGACGCTTCCAGAGCGACAGAGAAACGGGGACATTCAGAATGCTGTGTCCAGGTCTTCAACGTGGACCGCATTAATGAGTGGATCAACTAAATCTTACCCTTTTTAATAAAGATTATACCCCGTTTTTGTTTTTTTCTCGCGCTGACGCCCTTTCACAGCACATCTGCAACCGCTGCTGTTCGTCTTTCAGCACCTGGACAGCTCCCCGTTATGCAGCTCTTCTCCTCATTATCATCATCAGGCACATGGAGTCCCTGGTGTGAATGTGGGGGAAGCCCTGCGAGCTCATCATGCTCCTCCGGATGCGGTGAAACCCTCGTTGTCTCCGCTAAAGGATGCTGCTTCCAGCGCAGAGGAGGTGTTCTCCATCCTCTGAGAAGAAACGGTACGTGCGTGCAGTCGACGGAAATTCAAGCCTGATCGCTGCCTACACACAAGAAGATCCGAACTTCAGTCTCATCGATCATCATCATCATAATGATAATCGATTAAAAAAGGAATATCACAGCTGTGTGGTGTTGAAGCAAGGACCATGTAGAAAATACAAAAGAGGTCAGTTGGCTTTTATTCAAGCCTAAATACAGTGATTTTTGTTGTTGTTGTTTTTTTTTTTTTTTTTTTTTTTTTTGTTAAATCATAAATACAAATTGGATTTTGAGCGCAGAGCGGAAATGTTAAAAGCCTTAATGACTATATATATAGCCTGTGAAAAATAACTGGAATTGCCTCCGTGTTACGTTAAATGCCGAGAGAGTGGCCAGAAATAGCCCAGGGGGATTTTTACACGAAATGAAACAGCCTATTAAAATGAGAGCCTTTGTGGAAAGGCTGCAGCACCCATTGGGACAAGGGTCAACTCAAGATGTTGACTGAGGAATTTAGATCCGTGTTTGTGATTTTTTTTTTTTTTCCGTCACCTTTACACTTTGTTTTGGACCTTTTTGAACATATTGTATCCCCAGGGGATCTTTTTTTGTTTCTTTGTTTGTTGTTGTTTTCCTTTTCTCTATCAAAGAGTCTTTTGGGGATTGCTGCGGTGAAACAGACCTCTCAGCTGACCTATGTTGATTTCTCCTGAGCAGCATTTAATTTGCTGTGCTTCAACAAATCTTTCTGCTCTGGCTGTGAATGCTGACAATGGGGAATTTAAAGGTTATTCCCAGTTTAAAGCAATATCACAGATTTTAATTAATCCTAAAGCAAAACCTTTATGTAATATTGTTGTCTTTTTCAACATGTGATGATCTGTATGCTGTGGTTTTTAAATCTTTATTTAATATTTTTATTTTATTGATCAACTTGAACATATATATATATATATATATATATATATATATATATATATATATATATATATATATATATATATATATATATATATATATATATATATATATATATATATATATATATATATACAATGTTATTTTTTAAGGAAATATAACAGAATTTTTATTAGTTCTTAAGGATACACTTCAACATTAACAAATACGCTGCTTTGATGTATTGCTTGAGGTGTATTCGATGTGCATAAGACAATTTTGTTTAAAGTTATAGTAATGCAACATCACTAACTAGATCAGTAAGTGCATTGCTACAAATTCTAATCCTATATGGCAAATGATTTCTTAGTAGGTGAAGAAAGGTAAGGAACTTCTGAAGCAACACGTGCTTTAAATGTTTGTTATAAAATTTACTTCTCTTAAGATCTGACTGAAATTAGCCATTTAAGACATTGTTATAAAGGACAGTTAATTTAGTCTTTTAAAAATGTATGGAATTGGATGAAAAATATCAGACACTCTATATTTATAGTGGATTATAAGAAGTCAGGCTATTGAGAGAAAAGATGAAAAAAATTATGTACTAAAGTTTTTTTAAGGGGTCGAACAAACATACCAACTCCACTGGTGAAAACTACCTAGCTATATTTGGTTTGAGGGATGTAGCACAGTTTTACATGGGAATTTGATGGGATTTGTTCTCCTTAGAGTACATGGAACATTTTTAATAAATTGAATACTTGAGGAGGTCATATTGCTTTTTATTTAATGATTAACTCATTAAAATTGCTATTTTAATAGTAACCCATACATCAGGCAAAATCTTGTTTTCAGACCATCAAGATTAGGGGAATAAATTGAACCACTGAATCTCTGGACCTTAGTTGAATAGATAACCTGCTGTCCACATCACAATGCTAATAAGTGAGGGAAAACAGGAAGTGTAATTAAATCCAATTATCTTGGGTTCAGATACCAACCCACAGTTACCAGTGATTGATCTATTTCATACAATTTATATATATATAAATGTATATATATATATAATTGAGAAGTGATATTTTGTCAGAGAAAGTCCGATTATACTTTTCTGCCATTATCTCAGTAGCAATAACAAATATGATATATTCTCTTTATGTTTTGAATCAGCATAGAATAGGAAGTATTATAGAGTCATTTTTACACGTCATTTATGTGAAAATAAATAAAGAAAAAATTAAATAAAAAATATGATCTTTAGTTTTTCATAATCCGGGTTTCGGGTTTTTTTGTTGTTTTTTTAACTTCAGGAGTTTAGAATCTTGAATTGAATTACTGTGATAAATTGACTTTTCAACGGATGCACCTGTAACTTTTCACATCTGTTTAGGCACTTTACCAATTCCCACTGAGTAGACTCAATTGGCTCTCTGTGTAAGGGGGGACAAAGAGCAAGCCCTCTCTGCACTTACTATGCAAAGGGTGTGAAGTCCTGAAACACCCTGATCCACAGAAGGGAACACATATTGGATGAAACTTAAAATCAATTACAATTCAGTGTACTCCATGAAAATTGTTGAACCCATAAATCCTAACTGGCACTGGAATTTTGTTGATGAATTTACATGAATTTGTCTGTTTCAGCTTCATCTTTCCTTTTACTCCAGCATTAGAATATTCCATTTGTGCTTAACATATAGTAATTCATTTTGTTTTACCATATTCTGTATTCACAGATATGGTCCTGACCAGATCTCTTCAGTGGTGAATTCACATTTAGCTCTTGGTTTAATTTAAAGAAGAGAAATTTTCAGCAACAAGACCTTGACATGAGCAACACCCAGTAAGTATTGAAAGCATACAGGATCATGTGAAACAAATACTGAGATAAAAAGTATGAAAATTCTGATTTTTCTTGACCTCAACATAAGCAGGGATTTGTGCAAAAACTCTTTTCATTGTGTGAGTACAGCAAACCTGTGTCAGGTTCACTTAACATTCAGGAGGGATTGTTACATGTCATCTTCTCTTATTAATAATTACTCTGTGTGTGGTCCCTCCGATGAGCTCCGCATCCTGATTACGGGGAGGTTAGGGCTGGAGAAAGGGGGGCTGAGTTAGAGGAAGTGAAGTGGAGTAGTGTGAAGCTGAGAGAGAAATGAATGCAAAGTGTGTTCAGTCAGCTGCATCTTCTGCAAAGCGCAGGATGCTACTTGGAGCCAATCGGGTCTTTTGTCTGAGCTTCCAACCAGCAGATTACTGCTGATTTTGGTTAAATAGTTAATTTATCAAATTAAAACCAATACAGATAATTTACATATAAAGGACAAGAAGTCACCAAGATATAGATTGCTTGTAGATATAAAACACATAAGGATTCAGGTTAGGTTAACTGATATCTAAAACCACGTATTTCAGCTCACTGGTCTTCATCAGAGCATGCTCGGCTGGTGGGCTCAGACATTGGCACGATTCTTGTTGAAGTGGCCTGGAAAGGAATTGTTGATTGAAACGTGAGTCAAACCAACTCTGCAGTCTTCTGTATGTGCTACCAAGAAGCTTTCTTCTAGATCTGGCTTATTCTAATACTAAGGTTTAACAGTGCCAGTAAAAAACAAAAAACAATGACAGTGTATCTGTTTCCAAGAATTAAACAGTTAAAGTGCAAAGAAAACTAACAGAAGAGGAATGAAGGTTGGTTTGGTTTCATACAGCACTTTGTGAATATGATACCTGTGAAAGGTACTTTGAAAATAATGTTACTTATTTGTTATCACTTTGACAATGTTAACCAGAATAAATACAAAAAAGGATTATGAAAGTTTTAGGTCTATACCAAGGATGTCAAACTTAAATCTTTTAAGGCTAGTGTCCTAAAGCTTTAAGATATATCCCCAGTCCAACACACCAGAATCAGATTGTTTAATTACCTTTTCAGTCAAAGTCAGCTTCTCCAGAATCCTGCAAAGCCCATATTTCAATTATTTGATTCTTGTAAGTTAAAGCAGAGATGCATCTAAAAGGTGTAGGACACTGACCTGTGAGGATTGGATTATTACAGCCCTGGTTTAGGCTTTGACTGGGCCAACCCAAAATCTTTTTGTTTTTTCTGCTGAACTTGGGTCCACCAATAACTGCTTACTATTCAGGTCATGAAGCTACAAAGTAGGCCCAAGACTTCTGTATAGGTTAGCCTGGCCAGCCAGACTAACAAGAGGGGGGTAAGTCAGTCTGCTAAGTTTTAAACTCTCTGGTCCTAAACAGACCGGACCAATCATAGAGCTAGAGGCACGGAATTTTTCCTCTAGTGCTGGATATCATAAAGGTAGTTAATGAAAGAGTTCAATTATGTTTGTCTGGTTAGCAGTAGTTTTCAGCTTTAACTGTTACTTGGATTCTATTGATGCCTAATCTCTAAATCATAAATCATGAACGCTGACCTTGTTAGGTATAGTATAGTATGGTGGAAGATGTTATTTTTCCGAGTGGATCATCAAAATAAGTGGTCCTCCTAATGGTAAATCATTCTGGTGATATGTTTACACAAGGCCGTCCTACATGCTCATCCCCATTTTCCCTTACCGCTGGTGTGTCTGACATAGTGGAAAAAGTGCAAATCTTTTGTAAAAGTAAGCTTGTATGAGGGATGCAAACAGCAACTTTTAAAGATAGCGTGCAATGGCGTGAAATGGGCTCATGCATGCTCTCACACACCTTTAACAGTAGTTCCCTCTTGGAAGTGGGTACAGGGTTGTGCATGTGCATTTATTTTAAAGTGGAAAGTGCATGTCTTTTCAAAAGTTCGCAAAAATCCTCCACTATACCTAAAATTTAATCTAGTGCTGGATAGTATAAAGACATTTAATAAAATAAGAAAACGATGTTTATCTGGTTAGCAGTGGTTTTCTACTTTGGGTTCTATTGATGCCTAATCTCGAAATCATAAATCTAGAACACTGGCCTTTACCAAGTTAAGTTAATTTTTCTGGGTTATTTTGTGACTTCCAGTTTGGTATATAAGGGAGGTGCTCAACTATTAAGATAATCTGTAAGTGAATAATGCTAAATTACACTTTAAACAAGGGTTTTTAAAGTCCTACTTGAATTATCAATCCATCCATCCATATTCTTCTGCTTATCCGTGGTCGGGTCGCTGAGGCAGCAGTCTAAGCAAAGATGCCCAGACTGCCCGATCCACGCAAACTTCCTCCATCTTCTCTGGGGGGTGCCCTGAGGCGACACTAAGCCAGCTAAGAGACATACCCCCTCCAGCATGTCCTGGGCCTTCCATAAGGCTTCATCCCAATGGGACATGCCTGGAACACCTCAGAGGGAGGTGATTGGGAGGCATCCGAAACAGATGCCCGAGACACTTTAGATGGCTCCTTTCGACATGGAGGAGCAACGACTCTACTCCTCTCGGGTAACTGCACTCCTCACCCGGTCTCGAAGGGTGCCCCCAGCCACCCTGCTAAGTGAAATCATTTTGGCCGCTTGTATTCGTGATCTTGTCTTTTTGGTCATTACCAAGATCTCATGACCTTAGGTGAGGGTGGGAACGTAGATCGATTAGCAAATCGAGAGCTTCACACCCCCAACTCAGCTCCCTCATTACCACAAAAGCAACCTATAAAGCGACCACATCACTGTCGATGTTACACCGATCCGTCTATCAATCTGACGCTCCATCCATCCCTCACTCGTGAACAAGACCCCCGAGATACTGGAACTCCTCCACTTGAGATAAATCCCGCATTGTTCCTCCTGGATCAGAGGTTTCGACTATCGGCCCTCCTCTCCAGCACCCTGGAGTAGACCTTACTTAGGCTGAGGAGTGTGATCCCTCTGTAATTGGAGCACACCCTCCGGTCCCCCTTTTTAAAGAGAAAGACCACCACCCCACTCTGCCAATCCAGAGGTACTGTCCTCGACTGCCACGTGATATTGCAGAGACGTGTCAGCCAAGATCTGGGTGACTTCAGCCCGGCTGATTGGTGAGTCCACCTCTGAGTCCCCAGCATCTGCTACCTCCTCGGAAGGCGTGGCAATGGGATTGAGGAGATCCTTAAAGTACTACTTTCACAGCCCGACAACATCCCCAGTCGAGGTCAGCAACCCCCCAACCGTGCTGTAAACAGTGTTGCTGAAGCATCGCTTCCCCCTCCTAAGGTGGCAGATGGTTTGCTAGAACACCCTCGAGGCCAACCGATAGTCCTCCTCCATGGCCTCTCCGAACTCATCCCAGACCTGAGATTTTGCCTCTGCCACTGCACGAGCCACTGTACGCTTGGCCTGCCGGTACCTCTCAGCTGACTCCAGAGTCCACTAGCTAAAAATTTTTACTTTTGGTTTAACAACTTTAGAAAAAGTCATGTTTGCTTTGCAAGCTCAAGGAACCTGCAGCATCAAAAGAATTCCCAGAAAAGAGTAAGGAAGGATGGTGGGGGAAAAAATCCTTAAAATCTTTTCCCTGTAATAGCCGTCCTGCACCGACTAATTTCATCATTACCTTACAAAGTTTTAAGTATTAACAGATGCTCAAATTGTGTTAATTCCAATTTAAACAGTGTTTAAGCAAAACTAATATAGTTACCCTGTTACCAATATCTTTGTACAAACATCATCATTCATCCACATGCTCCAGTGAGCAGAAAGTATGTGTGTACATAACCTGAGCACTGTAGTTTATTTTGAATATGTCCCAAAACCTGTTCTACACTTTTTAGATAACAGCAGATACAACAACGTTTTGAACATCTTCTTAAAGAAATCACTTCTTCATAGATAAACTCAGCTGCTGTGTAACTGGATGGTTTATTTTTAGAAAAAAATAGTTGTACAACAATATTCTTAAATCATACCTTTTAATATAAACTCTTTGTAATTCTCTGTTCTAGAAGAGGCCACTAACTCACGACGATGTACTAGGACCATATAATGAGATTTTAATATTTTTTTCATTTTGAAAATGAAGGCATTATATTATGAGAACATCATTTACTACTACTTTCAACCATAGATTAAAGGTCGAAACAATAGGGTCGTTTAATGCATTTTACGATTCTAATTAGGATCTTTAGCTGGAGGTGCAGAGGCATAGTTTTTGTATCCTTTTCTTGAGGCCATCCATGCTTTTTTTTTTAGCTTCCATGTGTCATTCTCTGCTATACCATTTCTTAAAACAGCCTAGCCTTAAGCGGACAGCTCCACAGTATCTTCAGATGGAAGCGCCTCCTTCCTCCTCAGGATGGCAATTAGCCATCCTATCCTGGGCTCCACACACAATTGCTTCTGGCCTGCTCTGTGATTGTCTAAAAATGTGATATTGATGCACTAAACAGTTTGTTTCTGTCATGACTGATTAGTGTCTTTGTTGCAGCTCAGACGTGCCAGCTCCACAGATAAAACTGGGATGCTAAGAAGCGTTTGTGTCGTGTTCATGTTTGACCCTCAAGCTGAAAAAAGCAATTATAGCCCAACTGGCATTACAAAAGAGTTGACAAGAAAGAAATTGGGCATTTTATGTAGGGAGGACTAAACCATAGACAGAGTTCGAGAAGGAGATATTTCTGATTTGCCTTGTTCTTAAAAATTTTCTTTGCAAGTTGGTCTGCTCCACGATTATCTCCTAACCAGTTGTTTCCTCACTGCTTCACCTCTATCACAGAGGTTGCAGAATTCACCAACCCTTTTGGCTTTTCTTTTCCCTGTCTTGTAATCAATGCCTTCCTCTACGGATAAGTACTCCAGTTATTGATGTTCCCCATGATGGCTGCTCTGGGACAGCAGCCAAGCAATGTGTGTCTCCTGATCCAGGGTGACTTATCCTTGTCCGCTATTGGCTGAGCCACTCAGATTGCAGCCCTCTTGGTGAACTCAAGTTCACTGGGAAAAAATATGATACCTCATTTGGTCCTGCCAAATTTAGCTTACATCACAGAGAGGATGCAAGACAGAAATCCAGAATTAAAGAAAACTCAAATGTTGTTTCTCAGTTTTTGTCATGCATCTTAGTTTCAATGCCATACTTTGTATTTATTGTTGAACTTTGTAACAAGATACTAACATTTAACATGGTTATGATTATCAGTTTGACCTTTAATGTCTCTCTCTAGCAGTGGAAGTTAAATTTAAAAATTAACATATTAAGACTTTTTTTTTTTGCAACTCCATTTTAGACAGCGTTTTTGTTCTTGGATGAGAGGTATAGAATTAAATTTTTTGTTTCATCATGGCAGGTTAGTTTTTGTTGTGATGTCACCAACTGGTCTTATTTTCTTTTACTCTGTACCAGTGTCAGGTAATTGCAGATATGCACTTAGATGGGAGGATAGGCAGACTTAGGTAACTAATGTTCCAGCATATTCTTCTTGCAGATTGTATACTCTTTTATAAAGAGATAAAACTATTAGCTTTATTTAATATCATGCAATATATAAACCAGAAAGCACTTGGAGAGCATAGACCTCTGTGAAGCAGCTCATTTCCCTATTACATATTATTAAGGGATTCTCTAAAAGAATATTGAATCCTCTTCATAATCTGGATCTGGCTCACTAGCTAAATTTAATGGGTTCTATGTTGGGATGAGACACAGCTGTGGAAAAAATTTCAGAGTAATCCATGCCCAAGTTTTTGCATAATTTTGCTAACCAACACTACCAAAAACATTGTTGGCAGAAGTAATTGTAGTGGTTATGGTTCTGTTTAAGTTTTAACTTTGACTTTTCATTGGTTTTATTTCCATTTTGTGTTATTCTAGTTATTTTTGATTGTACTTGAGTTCTTAGATATTTCTTGCTTGCCCTCTTGAGTAAGTCTCCTTTTCCCAAGCTCCCTTCCGACACCTCTGTCCACACCTGCTTCCAATCTGCTGATTAGCCTGGTCTTTGTTTCCATTTCCAATGTATACACCTCCTGCTCAGTTACTGTTTGCTGGTTTGTCGTCATTTATTTACCCTTCTTATAAGTTCTTCTGGACTTCAGTAATGTGTTAGATTTTGTGGATTTGTGTTTGTGGATTTTTGATTCTTTCGCCCTTTTTGGATGATTAAATCTGCAAGAAAGCACATTCAGCTTCAGTCTCTGCATTTGGCTCCTCCTCTCAAACTTCCACCCAACCTGACAGTAATACGCTGCTGATTCTTTAATCTAAACAAACACAGAAACAATACAAGGCTTTTCCATCCTTACAAATGAACATTTGGCACTCCACACATGAGATCATAAAACTTATGCACTATTCAAACAAGGAGTGCAAAAAAAAGTGACTCTGGCTAAAAAATAAAGCATAACAGGGATATAATCTACATAAAATTAAAAAAAATTGCAGTCTCTGCATTTCACCCATACACTTTGGGAGCAGTGAGATGCCACTGTGCGGCGCCCAGGAGCAGTGTGGGGTTCATGTTCTTGCTCAGGGACAAAGAGTGAAGGCTCTGTGGATAAAAATGGGCACTTTTCTTCTCAGAGCACAAGAGCACTGCTCTAACCACTAGGCCTACACTCACCATTTATTCAACAATCATTTGTTTATAATTTATTCCAGTTTGTAGCTGCATTAAATGCAGTTATCTAATACTCTAAAAAAAGATGGCAAGATAAGAAATGCTGAAAAAGCAGTTAAAGAAACATTAGTCCATCAGTGTTTAATATGGTTCTTATGAGGGACCTTTAGTTGTTAGTAGTTATTAGTTGGATAAATTCAAAAATGGGCTGAGCTTCTGTCATCTTGTGAATGTGAAAAAAATCATTGTTGCAGAGAGAGTATTAGAATAGTGAATATTATCAATAAATAATAACATTGGGTCTTTTATTTAAACTGCTTTAATTTGGTAACAATTACCATGAATGGTTTATGTGGTGACCAGAGTTTGAGACAAAAAAAAATAATAAAATGTCTCTAAGGTTTGTGTTAAAAAAATAAAAAAAAAACTATCAAAAAAACTAGACTGAGAATAAGTAAACAATATAAGTAAACTATATTAAAAATAATGAATCTAAATATTTCGACTCCTGAAGAAGTTTGATGATATAGGGGAAAAAGCTAACAGAGTTTATAAAATATGTTAATTGTTCTGATTAGGGTAAAGGTAAACAGGATTTTTGCCATATCCATTGAACAATGACTTCTCTTCACAGCCGTTTGGTAATAAGTCATGTGTGTCAGTTTGCCACTGCTTTCTGTGCAGATGTTTCTTTTGTTGGATGTGTCCTACAAACAAGCATTATTCTTTATTATTTATCTGCTCTAAGTTAGGAGCTTGTTTTAATGTATTTTCTAAAGAATCTCCATTTGGCCGGTTTGCATTACGACCATTTTTTCAGGCATAGTAAGTTGAGCATTGCACCTCCATTCAATTTTAGGGATTTAACATTAAAAATATAACTATACATTTAAATGTACGAAACCAAACAAACTATTGAATACTTATACTTATGAATATACAGTACTGCTCTGACTATAATTTACAAAAAGGGGTTTAACCTTCATACATTAAGTCTTTCTAGGCTAGCTTCAGCCATGATCAACTCAAATAGGAAAGCTTAAACTCTTTATTCAGCTCTCTGACTGTGTTTTTGCTTTGGTTGTGATATGTCTTCTGTGTCACAGAGCCCTTCCCCAGGGTGGAGCCTCAGATCTGGAGGTCATCTCCCAGCAGGTGGAGGACGACAACCAGTGCATGGCTCCAGTCCAGCTAGTCAACTTCACCTACAGAGACTTGCCTTTGGCCGCCCTGGACATATCTCTTGCTGGATCTCAGCTCATCTCCAACCCTGATGAAGAGGATAACAGAGATGGGTAGGATCCCAGTGTAATGAGAGTAAAATGTTAAAGCTGAACCAATAGTTTCACCATTGTTACATTGAGGAAGAGTTTGTCTATAAAAGAATGATGAAATTACACCTTTTTCCTTTTCACGTTTGAAGAAAAATAAAAGCAATGTAGATAAATATGAGGAAATCAGAAATATCTTCTATAGGATGAATCAAAGCTAAATTTGGGAGCCTGACCTAGTCTATATTCCATGGCACAGAAAATAATCTTCAACAGTGGAAGCTTCATAACAACTGCATGCCCCGGTACAGCTGTCTATGTTGACCTTGAAAGCAGACAGTAAGATGCTAAATGTAGTTTCCAAAAAAAAAATACTATTGATATTAAGTGCATGCCTCTGCAGAGAAAGGCTTCAGCAGCTAAAGTTTGCAGGATAGAATATAGAGAATAGGGCAGATGCATTAATATTCTTTAGACCGATTGAATTATATGGACACTGTAACAGAGGATGCGTTTGACAAAAATCAAGAAGAACATTCCTGGAAAAGAAACTAAATGCAAACTGTGAATAATGGAGTTGGACATGTTGTGATTCAGGGATGCTATGTTGCAGCAGGACCCGGCCAGCTCACTATCATGGAATCCCTTTTATATGAGGACATCTATTAAACCCTAAGTTGCAGTGACTGACAACCTGCTTGTAAAATCTACCAAGGGCTGAGACGAAGCCCAAAACCTGATCTTATTGTGTTTGTTTAGTGTAACATGAAAAAAAACTACAATAAATTTCTCAAAAATTTCACAGCTAAATGTAAGGAGTAGGTCAAAAAGTTCCCTAGTCCAATTTCAGTGAAAGTGCTTTAAAAAAACAGTTTTCCTTCAGTTTTTATTTGTAATGAAATCTGTTTCTTTTCCAGAGGAAGAAAAATAAGACATAAATGTTTTTATAACTTAACTTCCTAAACATTCAAGGGATGTTGTAATGCCTTATTTCCAGTAAATCAAGTATCAGTAAGCTGGAAACAAGTTAATTAATGAAAATGACCCATAAGTTATCTGGTATACATAATTACCATTATCATCTTTATTGATCACTGCAACTTACATGTTACAGCAAAATGTGCCCTCTCTATTTAACCGTTAGGGAGCTGTGGACCTCCACTGTAAACCCCCCACACAGCATTGTTCGACAAAAGAGTACAACAGTGAATCAGGAGGCAGGTGTTCGCCCTCTTACTGCTGGATAACAGGATGTAAATCATTTACCAGAGGGGCAGTCTGTGAGATTTAAACCAGAGAATTTACATCCTTCTCAGGATGCAAGCACCTTGCTCTAACCACAAGGCCTCAACTCCCCCACATAAAAAACAAAACAAAAAAAAGCTGAAATGTAATTACATATTGATTAATGTTCTGGGTATTTGTGCACTATGAAGAAGATATCAGAGATATTTTGTCTGAGCCACCATGTCAGCTATTTGTGTCAAAGCACTACATTCCTAATTATGGCGGAATTGCAATTACTGCAATCTATAATCTACCCTGCTGGTGACAAGCTCCGCTGTCCTGTTCTTCATTGCTTATATTTGCATTTTTTAATTATACCTGCCATGTTGAATCATGCCTCATTTTACAATAAAGCCTGTTAGACGACGATAACTAAAAATAAATGAAAAGTCAGAGCATTATCCCTGCCCATAAGGCCTTCTTGTTCTGGTCTTTTTTTTCTTATTTTTTGTCGTAATACTGCAGTCCAGTGTTCTATAGGAGAGGATAAAAACCTTCCCTGATCACCTCTGTAAGCAAGTTCTTTTGGCTTACCAGTCAAGATGTGTAACACACTACCCTCCTGGCATGCTATTATGTTGCCATCTATACAGAAAAGTAGACAAACAGCATAAGTTTAATCAGAGCATCTAGTATCTGATCGTCAAGGCCCCTGGTGCCTAAACACGGTCATCTGATGGCCGACTGGACTTTGCCTCTTTGGCCCAGTTGAAGCTGCAGGCTCTGTGGGATGGAGGGAAGGGACAGATGGATCCTTTCCCACACACACACACACACACACACTCAGCCTCTTAATTTACCTCACTGTCTTGCCCATATAATGAATAGAAATCCCGCATTTACTGCATTGGCAAAGCAAAGGGAACAATCCGACAGCTTCGCAAAATTATCGTCCCAGCAGGCGCTTTTGTGTGACATCATATGAAGCTTATGGCCCCTGGGATTTGGCAGTGTGCAATGGAAAAATCATGCCGTGCTAAGACATCTATTGACGCTATTTAATAAATCAACAAAGCAAAACCCTCTGAACATGAAGGTCGTAGTGCTTTGAATAGCTTTTCACACACATTTAAGAATTCACGTTTTGCATTACATTATCACATTATATTTGCTTTTTATGTGACTGATCGATACAAAATGACACTTTATTGTGAGGTGGATGCACATTTTGTTAATTTTGCAGAGCCCACTGTGATATTTGGAGGTCATGTAAAATACAGTATTGGCTTCATAACCTTTATGATGCAGAAAAGTGTCATTAGTTACTGTTCTTCAGGTCAATATTTTTTCATGGCTTTTGTACTGTGATCTTATTTTATTCTTTAAAATGTTAGAATTTGCAGTGTTAATATTTTTGATTACATAATTTTCCGCAAATTAAATTAGATGTTATTTTCATATTTGCTCAGTACCGGTGAAGCCTTTTTAATAAATGCTCTTTTAATGTTACTTGAGTCATTTGTTTATAACATTAGAAAACATATACTGAAGTAGTGCTACTTTTACTAAAGAAGCTACAAATTTGGGCTGTTATACCCAGCTTTGGAAATATGTGGCCTGTGTTTATGAAGAGTCTCTTCTTCACAATATTCACATATAGAAACTCAGGGTTTGGTCTTCTGAGATCCAAATTAATAGGCACTAAATTTCTTGTGTGAACAAAAAAGACACATGTAATTAATTTTGGTGTTGGGGGTTATCTACAAAGATTGTGAGCACCAATGAGAAGTGTTGCAAACTGTTTGCTGCAAACTGCTGCAGACTGTTCTATTTAAATTCATTTCAATTCAGTTAATTTCTATAATGCCAATTCACAACACATCCCAAGGCACTTTAGTTTACAGAGATAATATAACCAGATCATGCAGTAAAAGGGATTTAAAGTTTTCTATCTAAGGAAAACCAACTGATTGCATCGACTCATTGACTCAAAGGCAATCCCTCACACCAAGCATACTTGGTGCGACAGTGGAGAGGAAAACTCCCTTTTAACACGAAGAAACCTCCAGCAGAACCAAGCTCCGTGTGAGGAGCAATCTGCCGAGGTCGACTGGGGTTCAAGGAGAAAGAAACAGAGATGCAGAAAGAAGCAGGGACACATAAGGCAACAGCAAGGCAGACAAGCTCCAGGCCAGCTCCCACATCAGAGCATGAAAGAGAGCACATCCAGTTAGTTATAGTCAGAGAAACAGGACTACACTGAAAAACGTGCCCAGCTCCAACATCTATAAACAAAGGTGTTGACGGCAGCAGCACAGCTAATATTTCTCTCCAGGATGGCGAGAGCCAAGCAGGAACAGACCAGATGTAGCAACTATGAGAAAAAGCACAGAGAGTGTAGCGTTAGAGATTGAACTACCAAATGCTGCAGAATGGGAGAGTAGTGATAGAGTGAAGAAGAATGGTGAAAAAGGGGTCCCTATGTCCTCCAGCAGTCACAGCCTATAGCAGAATAACTATAAAGATTGTTCTGGATAACTGGGTGTCTGCCTCATGGAATAAAACTGGTTGGTTCCACTGGAGAAGAGCCTGATAACTAATTGATCTGCCTCCCATTCTACTTTAGAAATTCTAAGAACCACTATTAAAACTGTAGATTGAGAGCGAAGTTCTCTGTTAGGAATATAAGAAACAAACATATATCTAATGTAAGATGGAGCTTGGCCATTTAAGGCTTTATACTGTATGTGAGAAAGAGGATTTTAAATTGTATTCTGGATTTAAAAGGAAGCCAATGAAGAGAAGCTAGGATACGAGATATATTATCTCTCTATTTAATTTGATCAGAACTCTGGCTGCAGCATTTTGGATCAGTTTGAGGCTTTTACTACAGTTTGTGGACTTCCTGATAGTAAAGAATTACAATATACCAGCCTTGAAATAACAAATGCATGGACTAGTTTCTCGGCATGACCCCCTGGATAAGATATTTCTATATTTATAATAAATATAAAAGTATATAATATAAGAAATCTGAACTGAAACTCTCCCTCTCACTTCAGTTCATATATTAATTCTGTGGGTCAATCAGAATGACAGACTTTCTGTATTTCTTGTTGACCAAACAACAAGAATACAGGAAGACTGTCACACTGATTGACTATATATTATTATATAAAAATTAAGGACATGTCCTCACTGATTTCTTGTATGGAAAGAAAGGAACCAATGCCTGAATTATAGAGGGCTTAGAAAGATTAAGAAACAGCCACATTCTTGTGCAACAGTAAGTCAATGAACTTCTGTAATGAAATTCCTGACTTTAAGGTCACAGGCATTCCAAAACGTACTGTAGTTTCATTCTCTCATTCATTATCCAGACAAACCACCGGATACCTAGATGACTCAGCTTTCAGACATTCCAGCAATGACACATTGACAGAATGTGCTGGATGCCGCATGATTTACATCTGTCAAAACGTCCTCACTGTTGTTGTAGAGTTTGTTTCGGCGCATACCTTAGAGTTACGTTTGACCTAAAAGTTTGCTCTTTGTTTGCTGTTAGTTTCAGTGTTGGAGGATGTGAGAAATTATGCTCACAGCTTTCTGGCAGTTTATCTCTTTGCCTTGAAGTATTCAAGATATGACAGCTTGCCTAAAGTACTTGCAAGACAGCTTCATTATTAGTTTGGACAACTTTTTATCTCTGAACATTGTATTTCTTTCTTTTTTTTCATTTTGGGCAAATCTAAATGACATTCTTTTTTGTTACTACCTGAGAAATATGGGGGACTCTT